ACACTAACAGAAATGAAGAATATCTTTGATGGCCTTATTAATATACTGGATATGGCTGAGAAAAGAATCTCTGAGTTTCAGGATATGCCAATAGAAACTTCCAAAACTGGGCACCTGGGTGGCTCATTCGATTGAACATCCAACTTCAACTCAAGTCATGATCTCACGGCTAATGAGTTTGAGCCCCGCATCAGGCTCTGTGCTGACAGCTCAGAGCCTGGAGCCTGCTTCAGATTCTGTCTCTCTCTCTCTCTCTCTCTCTCTCTCTCTCTCTCTCCCTCCCCCACTCACTCTGTCTCTCTCTTAAAAAAATAAATAAATAAATAAAAACATTAAAAAAAAAAAAAAAAGAAACTTCCAAAACTGAAAAACAAAGAAGAAAAAGACTGAAGAAAACAGAATATCCAAGTACTGGAGGACAACTGCAAAAGGTGTAACATACATATAATGGGTATACCAGAAAAAGATAGAAAAGAACAGAAGCAATATTTGAAGCAATAATGATGGAACATTTCTCCAAATGGATGTCAGACACCAAATCACAGAACTAGGAAACTCAGATAATACCAAGTAGGATAAATGCCCCAAAAGTCACACTTAGGCATATCATATTTAAGGTAGAAGTCTTGAAAGAAATCAGAAGGAAAAAACACCTTACCTACAGAGCAGCAAAGATAAAAAGTACATCCAACTTCTCAGAAACCGTGCAAGCAAGAGAAAGGAGTATAATGTTTAAAGTGTTGAGAGAGTGGTGCCTGGATGGCTCAGTCAGTTAAAAGTCTGACTTGGGCTCAGTTCATGATCTCATGGTTCATGGGTTCAAGCCCCACGTTGGGCTCTTGTGCTGACAGTTGAGAGCCTGGAGCCTGCTTTGGATTCTGTGTCTCCCTCCCTCTCTGTCCCTCCCCTGCTTGCACTTGTCTCTCTCTCTCTCAAAAATAAATAAACATTAAAAAAAATTAAGTGTGTAGAGAAAAACTACCTACTTAGAATTCTGTACCCTGCAAAAATTTTTAAGTGAAGAAAAAAATACAGACTTTCTCAGACAAAAACTGAGAGAATTTTATAGCCAGTAGATCTGCCTTGCAAGAAGTGTTGAAGGACATTCTTCAGAAAAAAGGAACATGATATAAATCAGAAATTTGGATCTACATAAAGATAGGAAGAGCATTTGAGAAGCAATAAATAAAAATAAAAGGTTTTATTTTTCTTAACTGGTCTAACAGATAATAAATTGTGCAAAATAGTAATAATAACAATGTATTCAATGATATATGCATGCTAATGTATAGATTAAATGGATGACAGAAATGATACAAGGGATGGAGTGGGAGAAGAATTAGGAATATTTTGTTATTATAAGGCACTTGCAGTATAGTGTTATCTGAAAGTAGGCATGGGTTTGTTGTAAATGTATAGTGCAAAGTCTAGGGCAGCAACTTGAAAAAGTAATGAAAAAAGTTTAAATGAAGAAAGGAGATAAAATGGAATTATAAAATCTCAAAACTAAAAAGTGCAGAAAAAGTATGAAAGACTAAAGAACAAGGGCAATAAATAGAAAACAGTAACAAATATGGTAGATATTAATGCAACTATATCAATAATCATCTTAAACGTTAATGATCTAAATATGCCAACTAAAAGACAGAGATTATCAGAGTGGATCCAAACACAAGACCCAAATATATGTTGTCTATAAAAAACTGACTTTAAATATTAAGATATGTAGGTTAAAAGTAAATGGAAGGGAAAAAATGCCATGATAACACTAATCAAAAGAAAGGAGTAGTTATATTAATTTAAGACAGACTAGGGGCGCCTGGGTGGCGCAGTCGGTTAAGCGTCCGACTTCAGCCAGGTCACGATCTCGCGGTCCGTGAGTTCGAGCCCCGCGTCAGGCTCTGGGCTGATGGCTCAGAGCCTGGAGCCTGTTTCCGATTCTGTGTCTCCCTCTCTCTCTGCCCCTCCCCCGTTCATGCTCTGTCTCTCTCTGTCCCAAAAATAAATAAAAAAAAAAGTTGGAAAAAAAAAAAAAAAAGACTAGACTTTAAAGCAGGGAAAGCTATCAGGGACAAAGAAGGGTATTTTATAATGATAAAGGGGTCAATATGCCAAGATGACATAATAATCCCTACTGTTTTGCCTAACAACAGAGCATCAAATTACATGAGGCAAAAACTGATAGAACTGCAAGGAGAAACAGGTGAATCCTCTGTTGTAGTTGGAGACTTTAACATTCCTCTATCAGAAGTGGACAGATACAGCAGGCAGAAAATTATTAAGGTTATAGTTGAACTCAACAGCACCATTAATCAAACGGGTATAATTGATATCTCTAGACTACTTTATCCAACAATAGCAGGTTACACATTCTTTTCAAACTCACATGACTATAAGCAACAGAATCCTTGACCAAACAAAGGCTCACTTAACAAAAGCCCAGAGGCACGTATACTCAGGGTTGTTCTAGCAATTAGATGTCATCAAGGACAGGGTTTTATTTATTTTCCTTCTCTGTAATTCCTGGTGTATTGTCTTTTTATCTTGTGGTTATCACCTCAGGGTTGCCAAAGATTGCAGTAGCTCCAAGCATCACATAACACATCCAGACAGGAAGAGAAAAAAATCTTAGTTCTAGTCACCTCTGTTGGAAATAGGAAGAAAGGGAACTGAGGAGTAGGGGGAAATATTATTCAGTTTAGTTTAGTTTTTGTTGCTGTTTTTTTAAGGAGATAAAGCAAAAAGAAGCAATATGGTATTGACCCTAGATTTTGCACAAATTTTTCCTTCTTCCTGTCATCTATGATCTCTTGAGCCCTTCCCACATATTGTATCTCGGTGCCTAGGTATAGTTCCTGGCACGTAGTAAGTAGTCCATAAATATTTTTGAAAGGAAAGCAGGCAGAGCAAAGGTAGTGGCAGTTTAGCACAAAGGCAGCTAATTTCTCCAAAACATGTCTGAAATCAGGGGAGGAAAATAATGAGGCACAATATAGAATGGTAAGTGCTAGGATACTATTTAATTATAAGATGCTATGGGAGCACATAGGAGGAATTAGAGAAGACAGATCAGAAAGAATAATTGTTTAAATTGAGCTCTAAGGAGTGGTAGAAATAACTAAAACCAGAGGGAAAGAAATTCTCTTGGTTTGTACTTTAATTTTCACAAAGTAAAATAAATATAATCCTTTTGGGGGGAGGAAGACCTTGAAGAGATTCTAGTGAGGAAAAAAAAGGGAGCATGGCAAGTAGTAACTGATCATATAGTGCCCATTATTACTAACTTAAGATGTCTTAAAGTGTATATTGTCTATATTTCTATTTTTAGTGAAAAATAGCAAAATTCCAAGACTTCAGTTCTCCTATTTCCTATAATGTCTTACTTTTTTTCACTGTTCTCAGCACCTCTTACTCTGAATGTTTTCAGGCATCTAACTAAACAAGTTAGAGACTCCTAATACATATTTTGTATGTGGTAGAATATCAAAGTGAAAGTTTTGACAAAGCACAATGGAAAAGTTGTCAGATTAAATTCAGGTTGACTGGATAAAGTTGAATATTAGTTAAACTGTCTCTTAATCTTCTAACTCATACTCAGAGTATGAAATGGTCAAGGAGAAGAGGATTTTGAGAGCATGCCTACCCATTCTCCACTCCAAGAACTTATCACAGCATTTTGGAGGCCCAATAGAATGGGGCCTGATTCAATACCTAAAAAAAAAGCTAAGGCAGTGATTGATTGGCTAGCTGTACTAATAGCAAAGAAGAGGCTGCTGCTGCATTGGGATAAGCCTTCAACCTCAGAGTTTACTTGGACAAAGAAAGGCCCACTGTTTCCAGTAGACTAGATGTGGGCCACATCTATGCATATGTATACCCAAGAAAGATGGCATAGGGCTGTCATGGGTTCTGTCTGCAAGGGATGCCCAAATATGCAAACACATCTCAGCAGAGAGAAGCTGGAAGTATCACAGATGTAAACAACCAGTTGGGATAAAACTATATTTGACAAGATCAAGAAATCTGCAGATAACAGATCTCCAGTGATGGTGATCTCCAAGGAACTAATCAAAGTACCTCATGAGTCAGCTTTAAAAATCTGCCACATCCAGGAAGCACTGATGTTAGAAAATGCAACAGTGATAGTAAGAACTTTCCATTTACCCCCTCTCTTCTTCCTTCCAAGACCTCTAATTCCTAAAGGGTCCCATAGTAGCAAGCTGGGAAAGTGAGAAACAGTAGGGCAGAAAAAAGCAGCTGTTCATATCCTCCTTCTCTGACTCTAAGTTGTAATAAATAGTCTTAGCTGGAAGAGAGGAGAAACCTCAACTTTAAAATAAAATCCAAGTTTTACTTGTACATGGTTCTGGACATTTTACTAACCAGATAAACATAGTACTGAAAAGTTACCGGAAATGTCACAGAACCATCTAGGTTTTCATCCAGAGGCAGGACAAGAACTAGCCCCACTGAATAAATACAGAGATGAAAAGTCACTTTGGAAAAAAGCTTGGCAATTTCTTATAAAAGTTAAACAAATGCTTATCTAACCCATCAACCCCACTCCTGGGTATTTATCTAAGAGAAGTAGAAACTTACATTCACCCCAAAACCTGTATATGAATTTTTATAGCAGTTTTATTTATAATGGCTCCAAACTGGAAACAACTCAAATGTCTTTCACCTGATGAATGAATTAAAAAATGTGGTACAGCCTATAATGGAATAATACTAGTCAGTAAATAAAAAGGAATGAGTTAATAATACACATAAAAACATGGATGAATTTCATAGGAGTTATGCTAAGTGAAAAAAGATTCAAATGGTTACATACTGTATACTTCTGTTAATACAGCATCCTGGAAAAGGTAATGTCTAACTTTACACCAAGCACCTACTTTTGGTAATTCCCTGGTGCTATAAGGTAAGGTCAAGGTAGGGAAACAGAAGGTATATGACCAAAGGCCCAATTACCAGAGTTCTCCCAGTCCTTAACTTACTGTGATTTAATGGATCCAAGAGATTTTCTGAAGGTAGATTGAACATCTAACTGGAGTAGCATAGGAATATCTGGGTACCCACCCAGCTGGGCCCAGAGTGAATGTATTGATGTCTTCTCTGTTACTGGGTAGCTTGAAGTCGACAGATCAGCATTCCAGATGGCTTCCATTTGGTCTTCTTGTCTAAAGAACCAGAGAGCACTAACTGGAAGCACCAAACTCTCCTGAGCTCCATATTCAATCAAAATGTATGACTCTTATTCTCCCCTTTTGTCTTCACCACCACCTTGTCCTATGATGCCCTCTCTGGCACTGAAGAACATTAGTTACGCCTACTTTGACTGAGAGAGAGATTAAAACAGCAGAATTTGCTAAAATAGCTTTTTTTTTTTCTTCACCAAAAGCTGCATTTCCATTTCCATGACTTCACCTAGTGATCTATTTTAAAACTACCTTCTTAGCTTCATAGAATATGTAAACCATATCGAGACTATTTTTTTC